CTCAGCGAGCCTGCAGGGGTTAATGTGGCCTGTGTTAGCCATCCTGAGTCCATCTAGTTGGCAGTCCTGTCATTGGCACTGGCTGCTCCCTCCAGCTTCCAGGGAAATGTGCAAAAAAAAGAATGTATCACTGTTGGGAAATAGTCTTCCAGAGGGGAATTTCTTCTTACCCCTGCTAGTTAGAGGCAGGCTGAGGCCCCGAAGCAGGAGGCTTTCTGTCCCGTCTAATGCTCTTACATTTGTCTGGGTAAATGAAGAGGTGCAGGCTGTAACAGATGGGCTTCAGGAGGAGTGGAGCAAGTGCTTCCCTGCTGCTTGAAATTGCTCTTCAATTGCGTTTCTAAAGCAAAAATAGAGAACAGCATTGTTTCGTGTGTGACAGTCAACTTCCCTCCCCCATTTTCCTGCAGCTGGTTTGAGGGTTTTAATCCCTGCAGTGAAGGAGACAATGCAAGAGCGCTCTGCAGAGCTCACTGTCTGCTGAAAGTACAGACTGATGCACGGCATTTTCACCTGCGCCTGGGAAGGGTTATAAAGAACATGTGTACGTTCGTTTGGTTTTTTAGGAATACAGGCACAGAGAGCACGTGTCCAGACACTAAAGTACCAGCCTTTGGGGGCAGGAATACTAGAGTTATGGATGTACACCAAAAAAGCAATCAGAGCTTTCTGCTCTGTCTTCCTGCAGAAGAGGCTGTCATCCCACTGTGTAGCAGTACAACGGGTCATGAGCTGGCTAAGATATATACCTGTAGAGTGTGCTCAGTCTCTATACGTTTGAGGAAGGGCTTAGATCTGTGTGCACTCAAAATGTGGTGGATTAAGGAGACATGGAAGTGTGTACTTAGGCAGGGCACAGTAAAATCCTGTCTGCCAGAAATGCAGGCAGACAAGTGCCCAGGTCCTGAAGGTTCATCTTCCTCTCTTTCAAGAGATGCACAAAGCAGCAGAATTAGAGCTAGACATTTGGGCTTGTTTGCAGAAGATTTACCTCCAGACCGTCTGTGTACTTACTGTCATTTAATGAAGGTTTGTACAATGAGAACTCAAGTGGACCCAGCGTCTCTGCCCCTGGATGGGCAATGACACTGACGGGTGTTTGCCTTTTTTTTAACAGGCAGCAGCAGTCACCAGATGCTTTGGAATCGTCACAGTTGGAGGAAGAGGTAGATGAGCTGTCCCTTATCGACCACAGTGAAATTATGGCTAGGTTAACGCTGAAGCAAGAGGTAGGTGCATTCAGGGTTTGCTTTCGTACTCTGGTTTGTACCGTATCGAAATCCGATTCCCTGTGTGCACAAGTGAGGCATCAGCTTTTACTTGATAGGAAAAACTAGGTTGCAGCAGAAGTGGTTTGCAGCTTTATGTTGTGAAAGTGTGAGATGCTAGTACAGGCAGGGAGCATCAGCACTGAGTGGGGGTTTAACAAAACGTGAGATGTCTCTCTAAAAATCAGCTCATCTTGTGCCCTTTTCCCAGTCTGCTCTTTCCCACCTCTTCAGCCTGCTGCAGTCTGAATGAAGCACCTGAGAGCCTGAGCACGGTGGATCCAGGTGCAGGTTTACGGTGTTGGCCTTTCAGTCCGAAGGCAGGTTTAGCGGATTTCCCGAGCAGGACGTTACATTACTGATGTGGAAGAGCTGCCAAAGCCGCTGTTTCTGTGTTTGAGAAATGGCTTTGTTTCTAGCCTTGGGTGCACTCGCTGTGCTCTTTAACGAAGCTGTCTTGGACATGCAGCTTGAGAGAATATGAGAGACTGTCAGAGGACTTGTCTGAAAAACAGAGGAACGAAGCTGTCTTGGACACGCAGCTTGAGGGAATATGCAGGCTTCTGAAGCTTTCAGACTGTCAGAGGACTTGTCTGAAAAACAGAGAGCATGTGTCATTTACTGGCACTTCAGGAGTGTTCTTTGGTCAGCCGAGACACGCAGGAGAGAGTGAGAAGCTGTTACTCATTCTTTAAGTAGTATTTCATGACTCTTGCCGGAGGGTCACCTGAAAAATTTGCTTTTTAGACATAGCTTCTCTGTGGCCATAATCCATGTTTTTTTCAGTGTTTTGCATATGGAAATGACAAAGGTATTGCCAAGGGAAGTCAGGCACGACTCCAGTCTCCTCTGCAGGAATATTTCCTTTCAAAAACAATTAAAAATCAGTGATTTCTGAACATTCGAGACTAGCAGATCCGTGTCAACCCTTCACTTCTTTTGTCTTTCTTCTCTTTACGGTATACATGTTGGAAACAGTATAGACCTGCCACTGCGAGCCATTTCTTGCAGTGAGGGAACCGCTGGCTGAGTGATAGATCAGTTTTTTGCATATTTTCAGTTGTGAGTTGCATGTTTAGAGAGTCGTAAGGCAGGGGGCAAGCAGTTAGTGGGGCTGTTTTCTGCTCCTGCTTATTAGATCGCTTCAGGTGACCTCCAGCCAAATAGTTCCAGATCAGGGAATTAACTTGCTAGGTTTTGATGTTCCAGGAACATGCAAGTTGAATGCCTGACCTCTCACCCCACAGCCCCTGTGGTACGTGATCCCGCACTTTGAGACAGTTCACAGTGTTACTGCTCAGTGTTAATGGTCTTCTGGGAGCATTTGGGAGTCTGGAACATTTCTGTTCGTTCTTCTGTGGACAGAAGGTTCAGCTTTCACTGAGCTTCACAGCCTGACCTTAAGGAGTCAAGAGACCCCAAGTGAGGATCAGCCCAGATCTTCATCTGGGACACCAAGTGCTTTATTCAAATTCCCGGATTAGCCCAGCACTGAAGACCATGTCCCAGCTTGCGCTGTGAGCGGTGCCAGGAACATCACGTACTCTGCCAGTTGTTGCTGGGAGTTTGAACCCCAGAGATGGTAAACCAGGCCAAAGGGAGCTTGGGCCATGCCTAACGTGTTTCTGTTCTCCTTGCAGGGAGATGATGGGCCAGATGTTCGTGGTGGATCCGGAGACATTTTGTTAGTGCATGCAACAGAGACCGACAGGAAAGGTACAGTGGATGCACCAAAACAGAGCTGAGGATCGCAGCCCGACATGACATTTCGCTGCTTGTCTTCTGCGTCTTTGTCTTCTGCGTCTTTGTCTTCTGCATCTCTGTAGCGTGCACAGTCACGATGGGGCTGCAGGCAGCTGGGCCCGGGTGGACGGGACTGCCTTCATGATCCTTGAGTTGCGGGTGGGATTGTGCTTATCTTTGGTCAAACAGAGGTAAGCTGGATAAGCGCCTGTTCGTTCAGTTTAGCAGCAAGGATGGTATTAACTCCTTGTAGCCCTTGCCTAGATCTGGCAGGCGAGGTGCACCAGTGGTGTTGGTGACAGGGCTGTGTTGGTGTCTCCACACCTGCCTTCTGCAAGTGCAGGTGTGACTGATCCTGTTTTCAGAGGTGCTCCTTGCCCGTTGAACTTTAGGGCAGTGGTAATGTAGGAGTTGCTGGAGTGACTGTTGCATTAAAGTTAGAGAGGAGCGATGTTGATTTGGGTCCAATGCAGTACCTGTGGGCATCAAGCAAGTTGTCCAGGTGCTGGTCTACTGACACTCCTTATTTTCAACTTACTATGTCACTTCCTAGTCCCGCTCAGTACCACTTCTATGCTGGTAGCCACCTAGACCAGTTCAGGGAGGGAATCCATAGTACAAGAAAGGAGATGTGGGGAGGAAAAGCGGGGCTGAGTGCCCTTAGCTATAGATTTATTAAAACCCCACTTTATCTCTCCAAACTGAGTCACCACCCACACGAAGCAGCTTCTTTCCAAGACCTGTGGCAAAGACAGCCTTTCCAGTCTTTCCAGAGAGTGATTTTGAACCTGCCAAACACATTTGTGCTGATGGCCTTAAACAGAATTGATCTCCTTATCTCCTGGGATGCAAGGCAAAATGCCCTAACCCGCTGAACCACTCAGCACTCGTATTTTAGAGGTCTGGTAGTCAAAGGGGAGATATCTTTCATGTGCGTTTTTAAATGGCAGGGTTTTACTGTAGCATAAGGTGTTTGCAATTACTTACCAGCACCATTCAGCTGGCAAGAAAATCCTTCCCCTGACACCTATGTTTCCCTCTTTACGTCAGGCATCGAATCCAGGCAGAAAGGACCAAAGTTAGGAATATATATTTATTAGATATATATTAGATATATATTTTTGAAAAAAGAGGTGATGGAAATACCCCTTATAAAAGCGCTGAAACTGGAATAGAGAAGCTCTGATTAACTCCTGTTCTCCAGAACAAGCATCACACTGTGAGAAGTTCCCTGCTGTTGCTGTTTAAAGACAGCCACTTGGTCAAGGGATGTGTGTGAGACATCCCATCAGCTTATGAATGGGGAGCTCTGAGGATGCTGCAAGCACTGGGCTGAAAGCCGTGGACAATCTCTCAAGACTAGGGGAAACTAGAGCAGGATTTTAACTGCACAGCGGCATGGACAGGGAGAACAGCTGGGTGGAGGGAGCTCTGCACGGTACGTTTCTCAGAATAGTCCCAAAGCTCAGCCTCACGGGCTCTGCCAAGCCGCTGAGCTGAACAGAGCACGGAGGAATTTGTGCTATGCTAACCCAGTGTTTGGGTGGCTGAGAGGGTTAATGAATTAAGCTTACAATGAGAAGAATTCAGGGCTTGTAAATCAATCAGCCAAACGGCACAGAGGGGTATAGTTAAGAGGCTTTCCTTTAAAGATGAATTTCTTGGCAGCTTCGAGTGCCAGAGCAGACCAGCTGTATTACCTCACGTTGCCTTTTGGGCAGATGGGAACCCAGAATAAATGGAACTCCACGCCCTGTTGCATGATGCTTCTTGTCCATTTGAGTTTTTTCAAAGAGCTAAATGGAGTAAGGGATAAAGAGAGACTTGTGGTCTTTAGGAATAAAATCCATGGTCAGTTAAGAGCTCACAGCCACGCGCGCGTGCTGTGATGCAGGATTACAGCCGGCCGAGGCCTGGGACTCACCCCTGACATGACCACCCAGCCGCCGGCTTTAGAGCTTGTGTCTGACTTTATTTAGCAAAAGGCAGCGGCACTCTCTGATTTAAGAGCAGGAGGAAACAGCATTTCCATGAGGCTCCTGCGAAGAGAAATGCTGCAGGTGCCCTGCTCTGTCCCACCCTCCGCGTGCGATGGATGGGTGTTGTAGCACATGGGTGCAGGGTGATCCCTGTCCTGGCTGAAGCAACCTTTACGTGTACAGCCCAGCCTGGGCAGGCATGGCAGAAGCTTTTTCTTCCCATCTCCAGGGTTGCAGCACACTGGGCAGGGGCTGTGCGCCGTCCCACCACACACGCTGCTGCAGCACTGCCCGGTTTTGTACCCGGGCTAATAACTTTCTGTTTTGACTGCTGCTGTCCGCAGTGACCAAGTCTTGCCCAAGACCGTGAGGGTACTGCAGTCTTGAGCTGAAAACTTCTTTCCCATTTGTGGTTCCTGCTTTTCCAAATTCCCTTCCTCATGCCCATGGTGATGGCCAAAGCCTTTGCAATTCTGGGGCCTGTAGCACGTGCTGCTGCAGACTGATAAACAAAAGCTGTCTGCGTGCACCGCATCGGCGTCTCTGTTGTGGCAGGGTCATGGTCGTGGCAGTGTCAGTCTTTGCAGTGCAATTTACTCTTCTTTTGGCTGAAAATAATCTTATATTTACACTGTCCTGGGCAGATTTCCTGGAACACAGCAAGGGCAGAGGGTCCACAGCACCATGTCATCATGTCGAAACACGTGTGTTCCTCATCAGGAGGGAGTGACCATGTCTTTCTGCAGGGCTTTGTGCTGCCTAAGCAGTAAAGACAGAGAACAGGCACCCACCTCTCACCATCAGATCTTCTTTTTAAAGTATCCCCAATGTCTAAACCACATTTTTCCGTGAAAAAACTATTGGAAGTTCCTGTCCCATGAGCAGGTGTTTTTCACTGACCCCTTTGGTGGTCGCGTAAGCGAAGCAGCGAGCCCGAGTGCTGCGAGCTGGAGCCGGCCGTGGGGACAGGGTGGTTTCACTGCTGCTCTTGTGCCGCAGGGTCCATCTGCTGGTAATAAACACCAGCACAGCATTGCTGTAAAGTCCGCTCGTGTCCAAGTCTGTCCATGACCCCTTCCTATAAGACTGGATTTGACCTTACAAGAAGCTTCCTTTTTCTGAAAGTGGAGTTGACTGAGCCTTTCTTGTCTTTCTCTGTAGATCTGGTGCTCTACTGTGAAGCCTTTCTGACTACGTACAGGACGTTTATTACTCCTGAAGAGCTCATCAAGAAGCTGCAGTACAGATATCCTTTTGCATGAGTGGCAGTTCAGCCCCACCAGGAATCAGAGACGAGCAGTCATCGTGGAGGGAGCTGGCGAGTTGTTCGGTCAAAAGCCTGCTGACAACGTGGTCAGTAACGTGCTTGCCCTGGAGCTGTCCCAGGCAGGACTTCCTTCAGCTCTGCGCCCTGCAAATGGGAAATGCTGCTGGGCAGGTCCAGGCAGTGTGGAGTGCTGGGCCAGAGAGTAGTCCCCTGTGAGCCCTGGCAGGGCAGAAGAGCAGTTCAGATTTTCTGCATGTCACTGGGGAGTTGGTGGTTTGTCTGGGATGTCTCATTTCTAGAATGGGGATCGTGCTGCCTCCTGCCTTCCGGAGGGATTGCCTGCTTGGGCAGATGTACTTTAATGCTAGAGATGACTTAAATGGTCAAGACCTCTTCTCTCTCTTGTTACAAGAAATGCAGCACAGAAGATAATGTCCTCTTAGCCTCCCAGTTCTGAAATGAGCTTGTAACTGCTAACGAGGCGAGGGCCCCTGCGTGGCAGGGTGAGCATTAGCATTTCTGACAGAGTATGGAGAAGGCTTCTTGTGGAGCACCCTGCCTGCAGTTCCTTCCCCTTGGCTCTGTTCCTGTGGCTCCTTTCGCTGTCAGCTGAGCGGGTCAGTGTCTCGGTTCAGGCAGTGCAAAGACCTCGTGGGCTTTGGTCCTGTACACGCACGTCAAAGGGAGCGTGACGTCACCCTGTCCTGTGTCGCAGCTCGTCACTGCCATCTGCAGCAGAGCCACTGCTCCCCTTGCTCCTGCTGGGATCAGCTCAGCCAAGGACACAGCAAATCTCACTGCAGAGTGGTTGTCAGTGAAAATACTGGCTGGGGCATTGCTGCAGGCCCTTGTCAATACCTGACTTACTGAAAACCTTTTTCTCTTCCCATTTGTCCACCTGGCAGAAGCTTTTTAAATCTGTGCTGGCTCCCCTGCCGCCATTCTCCTTGCAGTAAGGAAGGTAGAGGTGACATCTGAGATCTGTTATAAGACCAGATGTCACAGACCAGTGGGGGAGATCACAGTAGACGAGTGCTGCTCATTAAATTCCACCTTAGAGAGAACAGTTTCAGGGTACATCTGCTCTTCTAGCATCAGTTCTGTGAGGTGTAAGTACCTCCTCACACCCCTACTACCTGCAGCTGGTAGCAGCTTAATACCATGTTAATTAGAGCCATATCGGTGTTCCTTATCTCCTGGAGATGGAACACCAGTTTCAGTCAAGACAGAATAGTGAGCTGTTCTAATGTTCCTCTAATGCTCGTCCGACCACACCGAGTTGATTCTTTAATTTGCAACCAACATATGAGAAGTTTTGCCACTTCCCAGACACGTTTAAGAAGCGAGTCAGTAAGAACACCTTCTTCGTGCTGGTGAGAGTGGTGGATGAGCTGTGGTGAGTTGCCTTCTTCGTTTTGGGATGGGAGATGTGGGTCAGTAGCAATACAGAAGTCTGGCAGTTACGAAGATGTAGTTTTTAAACCTGATCTTTGATGACAGCTGAAATCCCCTACCCTGACCAGCAAGACACCCGTAGTGCTGGACCCTCTTGGTGGAAAGAGCGGGTTCTCAGTGTGTCCTAACTGGGTCAGTGATTTTCAAATAGCCAGTAAAAGGGGAATCTGTAAGTAGGAGCTGGGAAGAGGAGGAATTTCAGTCACTTGTTTCTGCTTGTAGTAAAGAGTGACAAGACTGGGTACGGATACAAACTCTGTAGCTCAGTCAGAGTCACGGCTCTGATGCCTTCCCTGGGTTTTCCATCTTTCTCTCAGCTTAGTGGAGTTGACAGACGAAATTCTCAAGCTGCTGATGGACCTGGTCTTCCGGCTGGTCTGCAACGGCGAGCTGAGCCTTGCCAGAGTGTTACGCAAGAATATCCTTGATAAAGTGGATCAGAAGAAAATGCTGAGCTATGCCAATTCCATCAAACCTCTTGCAGCCCGTGGGGTGGCAGCCAGGTAAGGAAAGATGCACATGACCGTACCTTGGTCCTTTGAGAGCCAGGGCATCTCTTTCTTCTGGACACAACAGTTTTCTCAGTCCAAAATATAAGAAAGGGAAAAAAACAGGTCACGCTTTCTTAACCTTTATACTTCATCCTTGTTTCCTGCAGGCCAGGGACCCTGCATGATTTCCACAGTCATGAAATAGCCGAGCAGCTGACCCTCCTAGACGCTGAACTCTTCTATAAAATTGAGGTACAGAGACAAGGATGGGGTAAGGGCGGTGGGGAGGATTCAAACATGTACCCTCTGCCATCTCTGGTATTCCCTGCCGGCTCTCCAAGCACACCTGTTGCGTTGCAGGAGACAGCTGAACTTGTGTCAGCAAATGGCTGTGAACACAGCCTGCGACTGGGAATCTCGAAGCAGAAATCCCATTTTAATGTGTGGTATTTTCCCACCCCTTTCCTCTTCTTCCTCGGCAGATCCCAGAAGTTCTGCTGTGGGCAAAGGAGCAAAACGAAGAGAAGAGCCCCAACCTGACACAGTTCACAGAGCACTTTAATAACATGTCCTACTGGTAAGGAGTTCAAGAGCAACCATGGCGCTGAACTGTGCTTAACCTCCAGTGCCCTACAGATAGATGTTCGAAATATTCCTCGCAGAGTTGGGTTCCCTTGTTACAAGTGGGAGAACTTATATTTTTAGCCAGGAAGTAGATGCAGGGCACTCATCAAAGACCCCAGATCACAAGAGAAAGAAAATCAGGAGGGCACAGTAACCTGGAGGAATCAGTGTCAGTACCATTGGCCCCTTCAAACAAACATTCTCCTTGCAAATAAATGCACTCTGTGAAGACTTATTGTGGTCATCCTTGAAATTATTTTTTGTTGTGAATTAGAGTGCTCCATATAAGTTGGAAGTGCCATGAACTTTTCAGTATTGTTGATCCATCCTTGTTAGTTAGCAGTTCTGTAAATGAAACAAGAAATCTGACATCTGCTTCAGTGGGGTTTTTTTTCTGTCTGTTCTTCCAGGGTCCGTTCAATAATTATGCTACAAGAGAAAGCCCAAGACCGAGAGAGGCTGCTCCTTAAATTTATAAAGATTATGAAGGTATCAGCTTGATTCTTGCTGTGAATCACACACACTGCTCCTTAAAGGAGTAGGGGAGTGGGACCTTGAGGTTGGTAGAGCTGTTTGATGCTAGAAGGCTTCTCGGATCTCTAGAGTAACTGGTATGTTCTCCCTCTTCACAGCACTTACGAAAGCTGAATAATTTTAATTCCTATCTGGCCATACTTTCCGCACTGGATTCTGCACCCATCCGAAGGCTGGAGTGGCAGAAACAAACCTCAGAGGTGAGGAGCAGCGAGAGCTGTCATCTTCAGGGGAAGAAGATAACTGGTTACGGTATGAAACAGCTGGGGGGTTTTAACAGCTCAGCAACGTCCCAGGGTGGAGGGATGGCTGATAACTGCTCTGCAGTGGGTATAATGCCACAGTGCTGGAAGCCTGCAGCGTGGCTGGGCATTCTGACAGCTGCAGGAGTACCAGCGCAGTCATGGGTGAGAACAGTCTCCTCCTCCTCCTCCTTGCAGATTGAAGGCTTGGTGAGGCTGAAGGCAGTGAGGCTCTATGGATACACACTTGGGGTCGCGCTGAGTAAATCAGTAGGAGGTGTTTGCAGGAGGCATTAGCTCCCTGGCCCACGTGGCTCTCTGGGGAGAGGTTGCAAAAGAAATGGGTTTGCAGCAGTGGTGTCACTGTGGGCTTTGTGTTGTGCCAGGGCCTGGCCGAGTACTGCACACTGATCGACAGCTCCTCGTCCTTCCGCGCCTACCGAGCAGCTCTGGCTGATGTGGAGCCTCCCTGCATACCTTACCTGTGAGTTGGGTGGTTGTTTCCTCTGCCGCTACTTCTGCACATTCAAATGGTTCCATCAAGGATTTCTCAGCAGCTTCTGCCCAGCTCAGCACTTGCCTTTTGCCCTGCCTCTAGGTTAAGATGGTAATGTGCCACATCGACCCACATGCCCTCTCTGGAACAGTTTGCCCTGTAGCACAGGAAGGCAGGGTGGCAGCTATCTTTTTGTAAAGAAGGCTTTTATGAATTGACCATGGCAAAGGAAAGATCAAGTGCCTGGATCTTTCATTGATGCTTTTTAACTATAATTTCTTTGGAGTCTGTGTGCAGAAAGACATATTTTCCCATGAAGTACAATGGATCCCACAGCTTCAAGCTGCTGTTTGCTCCTCTGCAACAGCTCTGGTTCTGCTGACTGCAAGAGCTGGTAAATAAGGAGTCTGCCCTGTCAAACATGCTGCTTCGTCCTGTTTCTAGATGAAAGGTTGAAGCCATTGTCCTTCTCTGTAGGGGTCTTCTGATCCAGATAGCAGATTTGTTCTGGGTTTATACCAGTAGAGCTTCTCCTGGTCTTGCTTTCTTCCATGGAAAGAATTCTGTAGGAAGAGGTTGCACAGGTACATGGCATCTCATCTGGCAGGGGACCACGACAGGACTGTGCAGAGATATGGCTGAGCCAAGGAGACAGAGGGAAGAAGGGAGCACAGACCCCCTTGCTGGCAAAACCTCAACGTGAGGGAAACCCTCTTGCATAAAACTGGAAGGAATTTCCCACTGTGACCTTCCAGCCAGGTCCTCCTTTCCATGGAGGGTGAAAGAGCAACCTCAGCGCCCTTAGTGAGGCCATAAGTGCATCGCCTCAGAGCTCCTCACTGTACATGGTGGGCATCTGAATGCCTTTGGATCTGCTGCCAGGGAGACATTTCCCTCTGCTTCCAAGTTGCAGTGCTGATGGTGGCAGCAGCGGAGGCCGTTAGG